GTGCCCTTCTTCTACGACCGACCTCATTAGCTGTACCACCTTTTCGGACTCGAGCTCGTCGTCCTCGACTGTCGAGCCCAGATTGGCGAGGGCATCGGCCTCGCTGTTTTGATCTCGGGGTACGTGTTGGAGAGTCCATTCTTTGAATTTGTGCAAGGTGTTTTGGAGTTTGTCGACATACCTTTGCATCCAGCTCTCCCTGGCCTCGAACGTTTTGTTCGTCTGATTTACCACAAGAAGAGAATCGCACTTGGCTTCGATCACTTCGGCGCCGAGGCTCCTGGCTAATTCTAAACCTGCAATCATAGCCTCATACTCGGCTTCATTGTTAGTCAACCTCCTCGTCCGTATAGACTGCCTAATGACGTCCCCGGTAGGAGGTTTTAGTATGATCCCCAATCCCGACCCCTTTACGTTCGAAGCTCCGTCCGTGAACAATGTCCATACTCCGGACGGAGTTCCCGAGCTCAGCAGGAGCTCTTTTTCGGCCAGGGGAATAAGGGTCGGAGTGAAGTCGGCGATAAAATCAGCCAATACTTGCGACTTAATCGAGGTTCGAGGTCGATATCGGATATCGTACTCGCTAACCTCTATGGCCCACTTGGCCAGCCGGCCGGACAATTCGGGCTTATGCATGACATTTCTTAATGGGTATGTAGTTACAACATGTATGGGGTGACTTTGGAAGTATGGCTTCAATTTTCTTGAGGCACTAATTAGGGCTAATGCCAATTTTTCTAGGTGAGGATACTTCGTTTCCGCTTCCCCTAGTGTCCTACTTACGTAGTAGATGGGGAACTGGGTGCCCTGTTCTTCCCTAACTAGGACCCCACTGACGGCTACTTCCGATACGGCCAAGTATAGGTATAGAGGCTCTCCGATTTTCGGAGTATGCAACAAAGGTGGATTAGAAAGGTACCTTTTGAGTTCCTCTAGGGCGTGCTGGCATTCTGGTCCCCACGTGAAATCATTCTTCTTCTTTAGAAGATTGAAAAATTGATGGCTCCTATCCGAGGATCGGGATATGAACCGGCCTAGAGCAGCTATGCGCCCGGTGAGCCGTTGGACGGCCTTTACGTTATCGACAATCTTTATGTCCTCGATTGCCTTAATCTTATCCGGATTGATCTCGATTCCCCTATTGGACACCATAAATCCCAGGAACTTTCCGGATCCGACCCCGAACGCGCATTTCTCCGGGTTCAGCTTCATGTTATATTGCTTTAATATAGCAAAAGTTTCCTGCAAATGGCTAAGATGTTCCTCTGCGCGCAGGGATTTAACTAACATATCATCAATATAAACTTCCATGGTTTTGCCTAATTGATTCTCGAACATCTTGTTAACTAGGCGTTGGTAGGTGGCCCCGGCGTTCTTTAGCCCGAAGGGCATCACGTTATAGCAGTAAGTGCCATACTTAGTGATGAAGGACGTTTTTTCCTGATCGTCCTTATCCATCCGGATCTGATTATATCCGGAATAGGCGTCGAGAAAACTTAGCGTCTCGTGGCCGGCCGTGGCATCGATCATTCGATCGATGTTAGGCAAAGGGAAGGAATCCTTGGGGCAAGCTTTATTTAGATCTTTATAATCTATACACATTCTTAATTTATTACCCTTTTTGGGTACTACAACTACGTTGGCTAACCATTCGGGGTATTTAACTTCCCGGATGGACCCTATGTTTAATAGCTTAGTTACCTCCTCGTGGATGAAAGCCTGCTTGACCTCGGATTGGGGCCTTCTCTTTTGTTTGACTGGCCGGAATTTTGGGTCTGTGCTCAACTTGTGAGTCGTGACCTCCGGGGGTATGCCTGTCATATCCAAATGGGACCAAGCAAACACATCTTCGTTAGCAGTAAGAAAAGAAAGCAAATTTTTCCTGAGCTCGGTAGTTAAACCCGAGCCCAGGTATACCTTTCGGTCTGGCGCACTCGAACGAATAGGGATCTGTTCCAGCTCTTCGACTGTTGATTTGGTGGCATCGGACTCATCCGGAGTCACGAAAGACCGGGGAAGAAAGAGGTCTTCCCCGAAGGTAGATTCTGGTTCAGCCTCTTTTACCGGAGGCTTACACTTTGACTGCTATTTTGCCTTGGACACCTCATCTACTGCGAACATCTCTCTTGCGGCGCATTGCTCCCCGTACACAGTGATGACCCCCTCGGCAGATGGGAATTTCAGCATTTGGTGCAGCGTGGACGGTACGGCCCCGATGTCGTGTATCCAAGGTCTTCCGAGCAGGGCGTTGTACCTCATATCGCCCTTGATAACACAGAACTTGGTCGCTTTTGTAACTCCGCCCACGTCGATCATCAGAGTTATTTCCCCTCGTGTTGTCTCCGTAGCCATATTAAATCCATTCAATACTCTTACCTCAGAAATTATCTGCCCTGTCAGTCCCAACTGTTCGACGACCCACGACCGAATTATGTTAGCCGAGCTTCCGGGATCGACCAAGACACGCTTGACTTTAGTGTCTCGGACCATCATGGATATTACCAAAGCGTCGTTATGGGGTTGTGCTGGTCCATCGATTTCCTCGTTGCTAAAACATAGTGTTCCCTCTGGTGCATAATCCCTGATCCGCTTCTCCCTTGTGATCGATATCTTGGTACGTTTCAGTATTGGTACTTGAGGTGCGTCTTCCCCTCCAATTATCATGTTTATGGTGTGCCGGGGTTCCTTCCTATCGGCTGGTCGATCTCGATTTTCGTAATGATTTTTGGCCCGATCACTGAGAAATTCTCGAAGGTAACCTTCATCGAGCAACCGGGCAACTTCCTCCCGCAGTTGCCTGCAATCTTCGGTTCTGTGGCCATGTGTGTTGTGGTACTTACATATTAACTTGGGATCCCTCCTCGATGGATCGGACTGTACGGGTTTGGGCCATCGGGCTTCTTTGATACGTCCGATCGCCGACACCAAGGTAGCCGAATCGACACTGAAATTATATTCAGCCAATCGGGGTGCTTCCTGTCTATCGACGGCTTTCCCGAGGTTGGCCTTCGGTAACGGTCTTCTGTTCCTCTCATAGCCGCGGTCGTTCCTCGTAAATTTAGGCCTCCTATCATCCTGATACGGCCGATATCTTTCCTTGTTCGGTCTCGAATCTTTGTAGTTTTCCCTACGAGGTCGATCGAAATTCCTATGTGTGGATGGTGAATCCGAACTTGCTCCGCTGTGGTCGTCCTCTACCCTTATCTTCGATTGGTACCGGTTATGGATGTCTGCCCACGTAACTGCTGGAAACTCGATCAGACTTTGCTTTAATTGCCTGGATGCGGCTGAGCTGTTGGCGTTCAATCCTTGAGTGAAGGCTTGTACTGCCCAGTCATCCGTGACTGGGGGAAGATCCATCCTCTCCATTTGAAATCGAGACACAAATTCCCGGAGTGTCTCGTTTATGCGCTGTCGGACCTTGAATAGGTCGGATTTCCTTGTTTCTACCCTGATCGCCCCGGCGTGAGCTTTCACGAAGGCATCGGCTAACATGGCGAACGAATCGATGGAATTTGGCGGTAAGTTATGATACCACGTCATTGCCCCCTTGGACAAGGTTTCTCCAAACTTTTTCAACAAAACTGACTCGATTTCATCATCTTCGAGATCGTTTCCCTTAATCGCGCATGTGTATGCTGTCACATGCTCGTTTGGGTCCGAGGTCCCATTATACTTCGGGATATCGGGCATTCTAAATTTCTTAGGGATAGGTTTTGGGGCGGCACTGGATGGGAACGGTTTTTGTACAAACTTTTTAGCGTCAAGGCCCTTCAGGACCGGAGGTGCACCTGGTATTTGGTCGACCCTGGAGTTGTATGTTTCTACTTTTTTATTGTTGGCCTCGATCTTTTCCTCCCCCTTTTCGATTCGTTCGGTCAATTCTTCTAGCCTCCTAAGAACCGCAGAATCAGCATCCGGCCCACCCCGTTCCGGCTGTACTGGGGTCGGATTGATGATTGCAGCTGCACGGGGAGCCTCCTCGGACCTGACAGGCTCCTGGACCCGGCTCTGGAGCTGAGCTATAGCCGATTGCTGGGCTTGCAGCATGTCAAAAATCATTTTAAGGTTGATAGTCTCTTCGCCGACTGCCTGGGCCCTCGAATCGTCCTCTCCCCGGACGCTATGTGATGATCCGGAGGCCTGATCAGTGTTGAGCGCCATCCGGGAATCGGCATCTATCGGGTTTTCGAGCCCGGGCATTCCATTGTTTCCTGTCTGCTGTTCAAGTTCGTTGTTGATTGATTGTGCCATTCTATGAGTTGGTAATTTGAATGTAAGATGGACTCTTTTGCAAAGAACCAGTGTATTGTGATGCGTCAAGAAAGAGTATCAAAGAGCTCACTAATATCCTTAGCCCCACGGTGGGCGCCAAACTGTTTACCCTAGAATCCGGATAACAATTGAATTTATATGGGGTTTTAAGGATCCGTGAACTAAAAGATACAAAAGGTTTAGATTGAGGAAAATAAAAGATAAAGACTCAACAATTGCTGTTAAAGTAAATAATCGCAGAATATAATATTGCTTAGAACAATTGTGCTTGATAGCGTACAAGAATTGAGAGAGAGATGGTACTGTAGTGTAATGGTTTTTCGATGCCCTCTTTATGGGGTCTTCTCCCCTTTTATACACTCTGATTAAGGGTAAAAATAAGGTAGGTAAATTAATTACATCGTGGATCCCTGTAATTACGCCTTAATGGCCTGAAGTGGTTGAGAGAATCACGTTTGGGCGAGATATCCGGCGACGCTTGGTTATCCGTTACGAGTCCGGCTTCCGACCTTGTGTGTTTCTCCATCCGGTGGTGACTCATATCGAGCTCTGCAACGATCTCGAAATGACTCGACCTCGGTTGTAGACGTGGCCGTCGTTCTACCTTGCATCCAGGTCGGGTTCGATGGCCCCGACTTGCCCCGGACCGGACCCAACCCGGTCGGGCTCAAGCAAAAAAGGGTATCACCCAATACACCAACGTGCACAAAGGTGCAAGTCGAAAACAGAACCTTAATGCAAACAGGAATCAAAATGGAATTATTTGGCAGTTAGTTTCTTTCAACCAAAAAAATTACGTAGTTTGGAACTTCTTCATCTTGCATTTCCAGTTTTCCTTGTAGAAAATGCATGTTTTCCCGTGCAATGAGAAAACTGTGTCGGATAAGTTGGCAGTTTAACTCCTCTTGTCCAAAACCCCTCAACGAAAATAGCGCTCAATCTCTTTTCAGACGCTTCACAGTCTCATCATCATCTCCGCTTGAAGAACACTATCCTAGTACTCCCCGTACCAGAACAACCCAACGGCATTATTTAAGCGAACTATTATTCTCGCTAGCTAACTCCGCATTACACTACAAAGAAGTCCATAGTCAAGTGATTGTTTCAGGGTTTCAAAGCAATATTTTCCTTAACAACGTCCTTATTCAGTCGTATTCAAAAGCCGGATGTTTGGAATATGCCCGTACTTTGTTCGACAAAATGCCTAAAAGGGATATAATCACTTGGTCTTCACTGATTACTATGTATACCCAAAGTGGGTATTATGAGGAGGCCTTATTGCTCTTCTCTGACTTTATAAGTAGTTATGAGGACCCGAATGAGTTTCTCTTGGCTAGTGTTGTTAGCTGTTGTGGACGGTTAGGTAGTGCCGTGAAAGGTGCTCAATTGCATTGTTTTGTGCTTAAAGCTGGTTTTGATCAGTTTGTGTATGTTGGTACGTCTTTAATCGATTTTTACTCCAAGGGTGGAGATGTAGGTGCGGCAAGACTAATTTTTGATGATTTGTCCGTGAAGAGTACGGCCACTTGGACCGCAATAATTGCAGCGTGTGCAAATGCGGGGAAGAGTGAACTTTCCTTGCAGCTATTGAGAAATATGTTGGAGACTGATGTTGTTCCTGATAATTATATGGTTTCAAGTATCTTAGGTGCTTGTTCGTTGCTTGAGTATCTTGAAGGAGGAAAGGAAATGCATGCATATGTGCTTAGACGAGGCGCAAAGATGGATGTTACAGTGACTAATGTTCTTATTGATTTCTATATGAAGTGTGGTAAGGTTAAGACTGCAAGGAAAGTTTTTGATCAAATGGAAGTTATTGACACTATTTCTTGGACAACAATGATCTCTGGGTACATGCAGAATTCTTCTGACTGGGAAGCCATAAGCATGTTTAGAGATATGAACAGTTTGGGTTGGACTCTAGATAGATTTGCTTGCAGTAGTGTACTTATCTCTTGTGGCTCGCTTGAAACTTTAGATTTGGGAAGACAAGTGCATGCTTATACCGTGAAAGCTAATGTTGATTCTGATGGCTTTGTGAAGAATAGCTTGATCGATATGTACTCAAAATGTGATTCATTTGGTGATGCAAGGAAGGCTTTTGACTGTATGGTTAATCATGATGTAATATCTTATAATGCCCTTATTGAAGCTTGTTTAACGCAGGATAGGCTGTATGAAGCTTTTGAACTATTTGCTGAAATGAGAGATAATCTGATTCTTCCAAGCCTTTTGACTTTTGTTAGCCTGCTTGGTGCTTCAGCTTCACTCTTTTCCTTGGAGTTGAGTACGCAACTTCATGCTCTCACCATAAAATTTGGTTTTTCGGCTGGCATGTTTGTTTGTAGCATCCTAATAGATGTTTACTCAAAATGTTCATCTGTTAAAGATGCAAGGCAAGTATTTAATGAGATAAATGAGAAGGATATTGCTGTATGGAATTCTATGTTGTTTGGGTATATACAACAGTGTGAAAATGAAGAGGCTCTAAAGCTCTTCCTAAAATTGCAGCATTGTTTGCAAAAGCCAAATACGTTGACTTTTGTTGCCCTCATTGCTTCTTCTAGTAACCTAGTAAGTCTCCTCCACGGTCTCCAGTTTCATAACCAGATTGTAAAAGTCGGCCTAGATTTTGATCCGCATGTTACAAATGCACTGGTTGATATGTACTCCAAGTGTGGAAGCTTGGAAGAAGCACAGAGGATGTTTGATTCCGCTCTCCAGAGAGATATCGCATGTTGGAATTCTATGATATCCACTTATGCACAACATGGAGAAGCAAAGGAAGCTATTAATATGTTTGAGAAAATGATAAATGATGGACATAAACCTAACAATGTCACTTTTGTTGGAGTGCTTTCAGCATGTAGCCATGTAGGGCTTGTTGAAGAAGGATTGCATCACTTCTCTTCCATGTCCAGGTATGGTATTGAACCAGAAACAGAGCATTATGTTTGCATTGTTTCTCTCTTGGGTCGGGCTGGTAAACTGGTTGAAGCAATGCAATTCATTGAACAAATGCCCATTCCACCAGCCGCCATTGTGTGGAGGAGTTTGCTTGGTGCGTGTAGAGAAGCTGGTCATATAGACCTGGGAAAATATGCAGCATCAATGGCGATATCTATTGATCCAAAAGACAGTGGATCATATATCCTACTTTCAAATATATTTGCGTCTAAAGGCATGTGGATCAATGTTAAAAAGTTAAGAGAGAAAATGGATAGCAACGGCGTGTTGAAAGAAACAGGGTGTAGTTGGATAGAAATAAATAATGAGGTGCATTTGTTTATAGCAAGGGACCAAAGTCATCACCAAACTGATTTGATATATTCATTCATGGAACTTCTGATTCGGCATGTGAAAGGGATGGGGTATGATCCTGAGGATACTACCTTCTCAAATGAGTAACCTCTCTTTGTCAGCTTTGCTGTGGTATGTGAAGAGTCTTTGGTTGAATCTTATTGAGTTATTTTCTAATGGAAGTTTTCCCTATTTTCTTTTTGGTTTTAGTTTTCCCACTGCGTTTTCTTCTGTTGCAATGATTTATCATCCATCATTACGATATGCCTCTTCTTTGTTTGTACTTTTCTCTAAGAATAATGACATATAGCACCATCATCTCTTCATCATTCTTCCAGAAGTTTGGATTTCGGATTTAGAGATTCTTTCTGTACTCACACATTTTCGTATTCATGTGTCAGATATGCTATTATCAAGAACATAAGTGAGCAAGGTGGTCGTAGATGCCCAAAATGACAATTAGAAGCAAGACATTATGTTAGGGTTCTATTGCTGTCGAAAGGTGAGGCACTTAAGCGTTCCAATGTAATCATTGAATTTAATACATCTCAGCTTCAGATAAATCCAAATCATGGATGTTAGGAATTATAATTGTTAAGCTTTCTTAAGTTCCTTATTCTGGAAATAAATAAAATTTTGTAACTTTATCAAAAATTTTATTACGGAAAGTATTATCACTAAACTTTTTGGTGTTCACTAAATCTCGTATTGCTTCTAGAAACTATACAGTCAAGTTTTGCACCGAACCTTCTCTACTCAGAGAGTTTCAAATCAAGCAGGCAGAAAGTATGTGCAGTCACCAGCCTCTGCTTTACATGAGTTTACTTCACCCAACGCGTCACATATTCTTATTTTCTGTCAGACACTAACAGGATTATTAACGTTGTTAACCTTTAAAAGAGACGACCTACTTAGAGTCTGTCCTTAAAAGTAGCTGCCTTTTCTTTTAAGCCATACTTGGACTTTCAAGTAGGTATACATTCTTTCCTTAGTCTTTAAAATTGGTCAGTCCAAAACTTCGGAAGATAAAAAACTACTTTTGTTTTTATCATGCCTTATATCATTTTCTAGTTTTTAATCTCTCTCTCACTCTCTCTCTCCCTCCCTCTCTCTCTAATTTTTTAGTATTGAAGTTAATGGAAGTACGTTAATGGCTAGCCAGTTCTGCAAACAGCAGCCATTGTCATACTAAGATTAGCTTCCTGATATAACTGGTGTGAACCATTTCCCAATCAGTCTCATTTCGGTTTTACTGGATGCTACAGTTTTGGCATACTAATTTATTTTAAGTTCCTTGGCCTATATCTCAGAATTTAATAAAAAAGAAGTGCCAATATACCTATTGATTAGGATATTGCAGGGCTTTCCAGTCTGTATGTCTCTGGGCATGCATATATCTATGACTGGTCATACTTGGAGTAATCATATTTTCTTTTATTTGGCAGTTCTCTTTTTTAGGCAGTGCAACTTTTGCTAGTCAGTTCAGCAACAAAACTGAAACTGTGGACCAAAATGAACTATTGCAACAATTCATCAGCTCTGAATGGAAGATATTGAAGAATCAGGTGCGACTGTTTCTTCCTTATTATTCTTTCTATGTGGAGCTTATCATATTCCCAGATATTTGGCGAAACTATCTGGCTTTTGAGTAAATTTCCATCTTCATGTGATGATATATTGCACTTGTTTGGAAGTGGACTAGGAAGCAAATATAATCAGAATACTTTTTTGTTTATTTATTTTGAGATATAAATGGATTTCATTTGATATGCACTAAGGTGTAAAAAGTACATAATATATGGGTGTACATAATGGCCAGCTGGGAGAGCCAGAACCAACAGAGAAAGAAGTACAAAGGAGGGATGAAGGGTGGATACAGTACTTGGAAAATCAGCAGCAAGGGCAGCTAAGGCCAGACAAAATGAAGAGCAGGAAGTTGCAGGAAAGAAAGAGGCCCAAAGCTTGAAGAACAACACAAATTATGATGAACCAGGTACAAGCAAAATGCAAATGAGCAGTCAAGGGGTGCAGGAGCTGTATTATGCACCTGTTTTTATACCAGTATGAGTGTGATAACTTGGAATATTAGGGGGTTGAATAAAACATATAAGCAAAAGGAGGTGAAGGAGTTTAGAAAAGGTAATAATAAAGCTCTAATAGCGTTGGTGGAACATAGAGTAAAGGAGCACAGAACCAATGATATAATCAAAAAGATAGCACCTGGTTGGCAGTGGATATCAAATTCTAGTCCAAGCAATAAAAGTAGAATACGGGTAATATGGGATCCTAGAATTTATGATTTTGATCCAGAAGAAGTTGATGAGCAGTTGATACATGGTCAGATTAGAATCATATCAAAGGCATTCACATTTGGGTTTTCAGCAATATATGGATTACATACTATCAAAGATAGTCTAAGTATGTGGAGGAAGTTGAGACAGATACATAGTTTACAACAGGGGCCCTGGTTAGCAATGGGGGATTATAATGCTGTTCTTCAGGCACAAGACAGACAGCATGGTATTGAGGTACAAGATATGGAAACAAGAGATTTTAAGGAATATATGCTTGATACAGGGATGCATGAATTACAATATGTGGGAAGGAATTATACATGGACTAACAATCACACTTATAGTAGAATAGATAGGGGATTAGTAAATGTAGCCTGGATGATGATAATGCCTAATATGAAAGTACAGGTCTTAGAGCCATTAGTGTCTAATCATTCACCATTAAAGCTAATGATAACACAAGTGCAGGGGAAGAAGAATAGACCATTCAGATTCTTCAATTGTATAGCTGATCATCATCAATTCATACAGAAAGTTGAACAAGCCTGGGAAGGAAGGAATACTGGTGGTATGATGCAAGTAGTATGGAATAAGCTCAAGAAGGTAAAGGAGGCTATTAAAGAGATTAACATACATCATTAAAAAGGAGTTGATGAGAGAATTAAAGGGATCAGGAAGGAGCTTCAGTCAGTACAAGAAGAAATGAGTTCCAATCTACAGAAGCTAGAGCTAATTGAGAAGGAAAAAGCATTGAAGGGGGATCTAGAAAAATGGGTACTGATTGAGGAAAGCATATATAGACAAAGATCAAGAGTGCAATGGTTGAAGCTGGGGGATTCAAACTCAGCTTATTTCTTTGCTCAGATGAAGAATAGAAGTAATTTGAATGGAATACAAATACTAACTAATGACATGGGGGACCAGCTAGTGTTGGAGGAAGATATAGAGGCAGAAATCATGGGGTACTACAAGAAGTTATTGGGTTCAAGAGCAGATAATCTTCCAGCTATTAATCTAAATGATATGAAAATGGGGGCAATATTGAATAGGGAACAACAACTACAGCTTATCAAGCAAGTGTCCAAGGAAGAAATATGGGAAGCAATGAAGGATATTAGTGATCTAAAAGCCCCTGGATACGATGGGCTAAATGCTGTTTTCTTCAAGAAATCCTGGCCAATCATTGGACAGGATGTGACAAAGGCTGTGTTGGAATTTTTTGACTCAGCACAAGTGTTCAGGCCTATCAACTGCACTGCCATTACCTTAATTCCTAAAGTCAAAGTATAGGCCTATTTCATGTTGTACAGTCTTGTACAAAGTGATATCAAAGATTCTTACCAAGATGCTACAAAGTGTAATGAACATACTGATTGATAGTACACAGGCAGCTTTTGTTCCTAGCAGAGTAATCACAGATAATATTATTCTGAGTCATGAGCTAGTGAAAGGATATTGGAGAAAAGGGGTATCACCTAGATGTATGATGAAATTGGATATGCAAAAAGCCTATGATTCAATAGAATAGGCTTTTATGGAACAAATATTACATGCATTAGCATTCCAAGAGCAGTTTGTAAGATGGATCATGAACTGTATGGAAACTGTCACATATACAATCATGATTAATGGTGCACTAACTAAGCCATTTGAGGCTAGGAAAGGATTGAGACAAGGGGACCCCCTCTCACCATTTTTATTTGTGCTTGCAATGGAACACTTGACAAGGAAACTAAAGAAACTGGCTGAGATCCCAAATTTCAACTTCCACCCCAAGTGTGCTAAGATGCAAATCTTGCAACTTGGTTTTGCTGACGATCTTTTATTGTTTTGCAGGGGAGATATTGGATCAGTTAAAATACTGTTTCAATGCTTTATGGAGTTCTCAAAAGCCTCTGGATTGATGATTAATAAAAACAAAAGCTCAATTTTCTTTGGAGGAGTCACAAATGAAGAGCAGGAGGAGATCCTAGAATTTCTAGGAATTCAGAGAGGTGTACTACCAGTTAGATACCTTGGTGCACCACTGAGCTCCAAAAGAATATCCATAGCTCAGTGTCAACCACTTATTGATAAAATAGTGGGAAGAATTACTTCATGGACTGCAAAATTCTTGTCCTATGCAGGAAAGATTCAACTCATAAAAAGTATTCTGTTCTCCATTCAAACCTACTGGGCTCAAATATTTGTCCTACCAAAGAAGATCACAAAACTAATTGAGTCAATATGCAGAAGCTTCCTATGGACCGGAGAAAGTACAATTTCAAAAAAAGCACTATTAGTATGGGAGAAAATATGTCTTCCCAAGTCAGCAGGTGGATTCAATGTCATGAATATAGCAATCTGGAACAAAGCTGCTATATGTAAGCAATTTTGGAACTTATGTAAAGAGAAGAAGAAGCTGTGGATACAGTGGGTACATAGTTATTACATTAGTGGAAGGAACATTTGGAAAATACAGTTAAAACAAGCTTCATGGATGGTAAGCAAGATCATGAGGGCACAGAAGACTATGATGGAAGCAGGATTCAGCCAGGATGTTATCACAAATATGAACAACTGTTCTGTCAAACATATTTACCACAGGTTGCGAGGTACGTTTGAGAAAGTAAGTTGGAGGAAAATAGTATGTCACAATGGTGGATGCCCCAGATGGAACTTTGTACTAACTATGACAGCACATGGAAGATTATATACAAAGGATAGATTGCAAAGATGGGGAGTATCAGTTGATCAAGATTGTATCCTGTGCAACAGTGAAAAGGAAACCATACAGCACTTATTCTTTGAATGTCCATATGCAAATGTATTGTGGAGTAAACTGTTAGAATGGCAAGGCATTGACAAATCAGTACAAGGATGGGATGAAGAGCTAAAGTGGGCAGAGAAATGGGCCAAGAGAAGAAATGCAGCAGCTGAAATATACAAGATGGTGTTGGCAGCTACAATATATTATGTGTGGCAGGAAAGAAATGGTCGAATCTTTAAAAACAAGACAAGAGGATGGGAGACAGTTTGTAAGCTGATAATCCAAGAGATACACTATCGTAGCAACAGGAAAGTAGAGAAAATTCTGCGTAGCTTAAATTGGTATCCAGTGTAATAGATGTAGATATTAAAAAGGTGGTATGGGGAGAATTTAGTATGATAGGCAATTATGTAAGGGTTTGATTTACTTGTAAATATTTTCCCTGGTAAATGAAAGATTTAATTACCAAAAAAAAAAAAACTTATGTACTTATTCTTCTCTATCCCTACCCAACTGTCTTTATGAAAAGGTCTTTCTTCTTTTTGTCAAAAGAATATTTAAACTAAAGGTATCTCGTCACTCCCCACATCCCATTCTATATTATAGATCATCTTCTATTCCTCTCACTCCAGATTGTCTAAAAGAGGCCTAATGATGCTATTCTGAATGTTGCTTCTTTCTCTTCCAACTCGCCTGTCTCCACTACTCTTCTCGGAATATCTCACTAATATTATATATCGAGAAAAGTAAACTCCACAGTAGGATAGCAATGATAAAAATGGTTTCTCTTCACCGCGCTCCCTACACATACAATAAAAACTGACGACGATCCTCCTCCCCGTAGATTATCAACCACTAGAATTGCATTTCATGCTACCCACCAAGTGATTCAAGTTACTATGGCGCCTTTTGTACTCCATATTCTATTCTAAAACCTCTTTCTTACCACATCTTCGTGATATAGGCAAGGAAATACGAAAACAAGATTAGCAATAGAAAAGAGAAAAAGAAGAATGAAATTAGACATAAACTTGATTATAATAGCCAATAAATGGTAAAGAGAACCAAATAATACCTTCTATTATAGAGTCAAAGTAGCACCTAATTTTATGAAACCCTAAAGAGGAATGATCCGTCAAAAGGAATGATTCCTCAAACAAGCTCCATTGTAGTTTTCAAGCAACAAAGGCATAGCCAATTCTTACAAGAGCTTTCTAATATCATCAAAGTCTAAAAGGCTAAAGACCCTAACAACAACTATATATACTAAGGGTTACATAAGACATAAGTAATTACCTTAAATGACCCTTAGACCACAAATTCAATAAAATAAATTAAATGGGCTGGTGTGGTAATCGCCCTATGCTGTCCAGTGATGGTGTGTGATCGCCATTCGCCTTGGGGCAGCCACTTTGCTCTTTGATGCTTGTTCCTTGGAGCTTCGGTCTTGGTCTTTCTTCTTGAATTCCACTTTGTGCTGTGAAAACTGCAAAAGCAAGTTACCTATTGATGTTGGGCATATTTATTTATTTCTAAAAATTGCAAAAGCATCCTATTTTTACTGTCCTTTGAGTGTTTTTTGTGTTAAATATGCCCAACTATGCTTAATTGTTTGCTTTTGTGGGCTTATGAAGTTATTAACGGCAATCCAGGAACAATTTGGACCAAAATGGATAAAATGAGGCTCCGGGGAAGTTGCGCACTTTGCAATTATCGCCCGCGAAGGACCTGGAGCACAAACAGCTTACACTACGGCACGAGTATAGCGTGGAGCACCAATTTTGAAGCCTGGCCAGCATTGTCTCGGTCCATCATGTGAATATCGGGTAAAGGGAGGCCCCATGCCAAATTCAAGTCACACTATAGCATGATTGGCGCGAGCAGCAACATCTTTGGATGACCTCGAGAAAAAGAGATTACAGGACAATTGAGTTTAAAGCGCAAGTACCTTGTGAAGGTCATTTACATCCTCGCCGTAGTCGAGCAATAATGCAAGTATGGCGTGAAGAACGAATTATGGGGGAAGCTTTGAGTGTGTTATGGTCAAAATGGGATTTTTGCCCAATTTAAAAGCTCCTAACCCAGCAGAGAGAAGAATGCAGAGGAAGCAAGAGGCGATTTGGAGCTCAACTTGGTTGTAGAGTTCTTTCTTTTTCCTTCCATCTAGTGATTTCTATATTATTTTGGGAACTATTTGAGATTGTTATTATGGCTACGTGTGCTTAGACTCCTAATTTCTAGGGTTATGACTTATGAGATCTTGACATGAATGTTTAAGTTTGATGTTTTCTTGAGGCTAATTGTTTGATTACTAATCACCAATACGACACTATATATGCATCTTGATTTTAACTTGAAAAAAGGATCTTTTAATTGCAATAAGATTGAATAGGACAAGTTCATGAACCTAGTCGCTAAGACATGATTCACAAATAGGATAGAAATATACTATACTACCTATGTGTCTTGCTTAAGAATTAATTACATGAATTTATTATGTTGTTCTTATTACATCTATTCTCATGGAAACATAGGGTTTAAATTACTAAAATAGGCGAATAGAGATTGAAAGATTTCTCTGAATATAACTAAACATGTAGATTGAGAATCTTACGCTCTAGCAATTAGTCACAAACTTACCGAAATTAGTCAAGCGCCTATAAAAATTGAAAACCCAGATAAATAAAGATTCATTCTCGCCGAGAGACATGTGCAAAGATCTCCTTCCATATTTTTAAGCGTGATCAGTAACATTAGATGCAAGATGGAAAGAAAATTTCATGGATGAGGTAGCAAACAAGGTGATGAAACATAAAGAAAAAAATATACAGCATTCCAATAACCTAAGCAAAAAGGGACCTTTTTAATGGGCAAAATTAAATTTCATTGAAAATAAATAGATGAGTCAATATACAATATTTTAGAATGATTGGAGGTGATTTGGACTAGTTTTGAATCAAATTCGTAGTTGAAATCGAGTTTAAAAATTTCTCTATGACATGAATCAAACATGTATCTCACATATAGGTATACATGGATATACATGAGATACATATTTGATATACAAGTGATAAAGATACACGTGAGATACACAGTGAGATACACATATCATCTTCTTCCATGTTCATCTTCTGTACTTCGAATTTGGCTCAATTTTCAATTAAAACTGCCTAAAATCTCCACCAAATCATCCCGAAATTGGGATTCACACTCCTTAAGATGTACCCAATCTATTCCAACAATACTCACTTGAAATAAATTTCAATTTTGAAAACCCAAATTTTTGAATTCAAACTTAAGCAATCTTCAATGGTTGCCATGACGTTTTCAGATTAATTCTTCGAGTAGGCTTGAGGCAGAGTCGTTTGGTGCATTTATTACAAGTACTATCTTAGTATGTCATAGAGATGCCTCGGTGTTCTTTGATCCAGGTTCTACATATTCTTATGCGTTTTCATATTGTGCATTGTATTGGCGAATGCCTCGTAATTCTCTTGATATTATTGTTTCTACGTTTATACCCGTTGGGGATTATATAATGGTAGATCGAGTGTATCGCTCTTAAGTGGTTACCATTAATGGCTTTGATAACGTAGTTGACCTCTTATTATTGGATGTGGTGGATTTCGAGATTGTCCCTATATCATGCTATCATTGATTATCACGCCAAGACTGTAACCTTAGCTATGATAGGGTTTCCTAGATTAGAGCGGAGATGGACCCTTGGCCATTCTACGAGTAGGGTGGTATCATTCTTAAAGGCTCAACGCATGGTTGAGAAGGGGTAACTAGAATATATGGCTTACATATTAGATTCTAGCGCAGAGGTTCCTTTTATGGACTCAGTACCGGTAGTAAGGGAGTTCCCAGAGGTATTTATTGCGATTTATCGGGCATGCCACCCGACAGGAATATTGACTTTTGCATTGATTTGGTTTCGAGCACGCAACCCAATTCAGTTCCACCATACTCTATGGCTCCAAATGAGATGAAGGACTTGAAAGAGCAGTTGTAGGTTTGTGTAAGGATTCATTGGACCGAGTGTCTCTCCTTGGGGTGAATCAGTGTTATTTGTAAATAAGAAGGATGGTTCCATGTGGATGTGCATTGGTTATCATTAGCTGAATAAGTTTAATATCGAGAACAAGTATCCATTTCCTTGAATTGAGATTTGTTAGATCAGCTTTAGGGTGCGAAGGTGTAACGACCCGGCCGGTCGTATTTGGAATTTACGCCCCGATCCCCCCTTAGCTGCTTCCCCTAAGTTCATTTCTGCTATTTTGGTTTGCCGGGACGTTCGGTGTTAGGATTCGGAGTGTTTTGGGACACTTAGTCCCTAAATGAGAGCTTAAGTGTTGAAAAATGGTCCGTAGTCGGAACAGTGTGAAGACGACCTTGGAATGGAAATCCGATGGTTCCGTTAGCTCCGTTAGGTGATTCCGGGGTTAGGAGTGTGTTCGGAATGTATTTTGGAAGTCCGTAGTTCATTTAGGCTTGAAATGCCGAAGTTTGTATTTTTTAAGTTCCGGTCCGATAGTGAGTTTTTGATCCGAGGATCGTAATGGAATTCCGAAAGTTGCAGTAGCTCTGTCATGTCATTTGGGGTGTGCGCGCAAAATTTCAGGTCATTCGGACCTGTTTTGGTTATGTTTTTGATCGAAATTGTATTTGGAAGAAATTTGAAGTTCTTAGGCTTAAATCTTTGATTAATTCGGGTTTCCGGCGTTGTTTTAGGTGTTTTCAAGATTGGTACCAGTTTGAATAAAATATTAGGTGGTATTAGTGCTTTTGGTTGAGGTCCCGGGGGCCTCGGGTTGATTTCGGGTGGTTAACGGAGGAAATCTCTAAGTGTTGCAGCAGCTGGTATTTTTTTTTCCTTCTGGTATTTTCGCTTCAGAAGCGGAGCCGCAGAAGCGGCCTTGGGCGTCGCAGAAGCGACTTTTGGTCACCCTCTAGGAAACCGCAGAAGCAGTAGGATTTCCGCAGAAGCGGATCCGCTTCTGCGAGATGGTAACCGCAGGAGCGGAAGCTGGGATTTTTAAAGGGAGCCGCAGAAGCGGTCAGTGTTTCNAGCCGGGTGAGGGCAGGCTATTGGGCACAGAGTTGGTACAGGATGCATTGGAAAAGTTTAAGACGATTCAGGATAGACTCCATACAGCCCAGTCTAGACAGAAGAGTTACGCGGACAGGAAGGTTCGTGATGTTCATATATGGTTGGTGAGCGGGTTCTGCTTTGGGTCTCGCCTATGAAAGGCGTCATGAGGTTTGGGAAGAAAGGAAAGTTGAGTCCGAGGTTTATTGGCCCTTTTGAGATCTTGCGGCGAGTTGGGGAGGTTGCCTATGAGCTTGCCTTGCCTCCCAGTTTGGCCGGAGTTCATCCGGTATTTCATGTTTCGATGCTCCGGAGGTATCACGGTGATTCGTCGCACGTGTTGGATTTCAGTTCAGTCCAGTTGGACAAGGATCTATCCTATGTTGAGGAGCCAGTGGCTATATTGGGCAGGCGGATCAGGAAGTTGAGGTCAAAGAACATAGCTTCAGTGAAGGTTCAGTGGCGGGGGCAGCCGGCCGAGGAGGCGACTTGGGAGACCGAGCAGGATATGCGCAGCAGTTACCCTCATCTTTTCACTACTTCAGGTATGTTCTCTATGCTCGTTCGAGGACGAACGAATGTTTAAGTGTAGGAGGATGTGACAACCCTGCCGGTCGTCTTAATAATTTACGCCCCGATCCCCTATTAACTGCTTCCCCTAAGTTCATTTCTGCTATTTTGGTTTGCCGGGACGTTCGGTGTTGAGTTTCGGAGAGTTTTGGGACACTTAGTTCCTAAATGAGAGCTTAAGTGTGGAAAAGTGGTCCGTAGTCGGAACAGTGTGAAGGCGACCTCGGAATGGAAATCCGATGATTCCGTTAGCTCCGTTAGGTGATTTCGGGGTTCGGAGCGTGTTCGGAATGTATTTTGGAAGTCCGTAGCTCATTTAGGCTTGAAATGCCGAAGTTTGTATTTTTTTGAAGTTCCGGTCCGATAGTGAGTTTTTGATCCGAGGATCGGAATGGAATTCCAGAAGTTACAGTAGCTCCGTCATGTCATTTGGGATGTGTGTGCAAAATTTAAGGTCATTCGGACGTGTTTTGGTTAGGTTTTTGATCGAAAGCGTATCTAGAAGAAATTTGAAGTTCTTAGGCTTGAATCATTGATTTAATCGGGTTCCCGGTGTTGTTTTAGGTGTTTTAAGGATTGATACCAGTTCAAATAAGGTATTAGGTGGTATTGGTGCTTTTGGTTGAGGTCCCGGGGGCCTAGGGATGATTTCGGGTGGTTAACGGAGAAATTTGAGGAGTGTTGCAGCAGCTGAAGTTTTTCTCTTCTGGTATTTTCGCTTCTGCGGCTTGGGAACCGCAGAAGCGGAGCTGCAGATGCGGCGTGGAGGAACGCAGAAGCGGTTTTGGGCATTTTAAGGAAAACCGCAGAAGCGGTTGCCTTTCCGCAGAAGCGAACCGCATAAGCGGTTGTTGGTCCGCAGAAGCGGATGTTGGTCCTTTAGTGAAAAGTCGCAGAAGCGACTCATTTTTCCGCATAAGCGGGACCGCAGAAGCGGTCCCTCGACCGCAGAAGCGGTAATCACTGTTCAGAAATAGCAATTTCGAGGGTTTAATTTCATAAGTTTGAAAAATCGATTGAGAGCTCGGGAGAAGGCGATTTTGAGTGGGTTCTGAAGAGAAAATCATTGGGTAACGTTTCTTTGATCCCTTTTTGTTATACTTTATCATTATATAGTTAAATACATCATGGGAATTCGAACTTAGGATCAAAAATTGGATAATTTGGAGTAAAACTTCATCGACTAAATTATTGAGTTTTGAGTGAGCATTTGACCTCCGATTTGGGAGATTTTTATATGGTTAGACTCGTGAGAGTACGAGGGTTCTGAAAATGTGAAAATTATTTGATTCCGGGGCGTTGGCATGAAGGGAATTTTGGTCATTTCACCTAATTTTACACCGTAGCTTTGAATTTATTAGCAAAACTAGGTGTTTGCGATGTTATTTACGATGTGTAATTGAATTGAATATATTTGAGCCATTTGGAGTCGGATACTTGTGGCAAGAGCGTGGTTTCTAGTTGATATTGAGCTGGTTCGAGGTAAGTGGCTTGTCTAACCTTGTGTAGGGGACCTCTTCCCCTTAGGACATGATATTTGATAATGAAAGCCTCGTACGTGAGGTGACGAGCGCGTACTTGAGCTAATTGTTGAAAATCCAGCTTTACTTTAAATACTTAGACTGAGTTTCTTTCTTAT